CCTGAGTAAATTGGGAGCATGGGGACCTTGGGGTAGGATTGAAGGGGGAGGAGAGAGGCAGGGAGGGGAGCAGAGAAAAATGTAGAGTTCTATAAATATCAATAAAAATGTACAAAAATAATCCACAGCATAAACAAATGTAACACATCTTAAAATGATATTCCATAACAATGGTGTCATTCATGAAGGCACACCTCCCACGCTCTGCTGTGTGTATCCACGGTAAGAAGGTGACTGTCCACAGGAGATCCGCCATACCCAATCTGCCACACTTTGGTCTTAGACTCCCTGCCTCTGAATTTGTAGGGAATGAACTTCCGTCATATATCAGCCACACGGTCTGTGGTTTCTGTTGGTGTGGCATCAGTGGCTAATTGTGATTCCCATTGTAGGACATTCTGAGCAATGCAAATGGTGAGGGACAGAAAACAGATCTGTGATAAACTCGGGGAAGGGCAGGGGGAAGGTGCTGACCAAAAAGGGAAACAAACGAAGAAAAGTATAGTGTGTTGAAGGTATTCTGTGGCAATTACATGAGTCTATGCATGTTTTTAAACTCACTGAACCATATGCAAAAATCAAATCTAGTGGACGTTAATTTTAAAGAAATGAATATGTTTCTAAAAGACTATAGTAACAGAAAAGAATTCACAAGTCTGGCAGATTACAAACCTGACAGTTAAGACAGTGTACTGTATAATTTATTCATCATTTTCTTTGAATTGATAGATTTATATGAGTGTCTAAAGGCTATAGCTACCTTGTAATAAATACTTTCTTAAATATACTTCGTCGCTGTCTGAAGAAATACTGTGCTTGTTAAATGTTCTCCAAGCGCAGCTTAGATGTCAGGGTCTGCCTAACTAAATGCTTGCAATTACACTATTTTATGTCCTTATGAAATCTTCATTATTATACCTTACCTCATTTGTGTGCAAGAGAAAAGACATTTTTGTTGGCACAGGATCCAACTTTGAATCAGATCCAAATAAGTGAAACATATGTGAAGCCCATCCACAAGAGAAGTGAGTTAATTCCTGAAGTGTATGGTTCTCGCTGGCAGAAGCGGTGTCACCCAGAGATGAAGGAACTTCTCTGCTCACTCCCATCCTCATTTCTCATTAGATTTACTCTGATTTGGGGAGATAGATGTGTGTGTGTGTGTGTGTGTGTGTGTGTGTGTGTGTGTGTGTGTGTGTGTATGAAGACAACATGGCAGTGAAGGGACTTGAATTTGTGAGTGTACCTTCTTTTTCCATCCTGGAACTAAGCCAAGAAATACAATCTGCTGCGCTTTTGCCAACTTTAACACAATTGACCAGTGGTCTCTCTTTCTTCTTCCACTTTGCCTTTGTCTATAAATAGACAAGAACACTGTGATACCTGCTATGGGATAATCTTTTGTACACTGTGAAGATGTGTCTTTGCTAAGGTGCCTTCTGATTGGTTTAATAAAAAAAGAGAAATGGCCATTCGCTAGACACAGAAGAGTCAGACACAGAGAACTCTTGAAAGAAGAAGGGCATAGTCACCAACCGGGTGGAGAGGAAGCAGCACAGGCGTTACAAAGTAAAGGTAACTGAACCACATTAAAAAAAACATAGATGAAAAGATATGGGTTATATGAACTAGTTAAAAACTAGCTTGGGTTGGTTGGTATGTAAAATAAATTTTAAAATTTATTTAAAAAATGTCAGCTATTGGCCAAGCTTTTATAATTAAGAAGTCTCTGTGTGGTTATTTGGGAGCTGGAAGGTGGGACATAAAAATCTTCCTACAAGATACCCCTACTCCAAACACCTGAGACACCACGTGGAAGTTCAGAAATCATACAGTACTTTCCCACTTCCTAAACTCTAGCTATTGCTATGCCCACAGATAGGTGATATGGGTCAGTTTAGCATCACAAATGGGAAAAAAGTCTGTTTCCATATTGGTGTATCGGTGGTGTCTCCCTTTGGGCCTGGTCATTCACACTTGGAAAGTTTTTCACACTGCTTTGGAAATATTTTTACCTTCAGTTAGAAGAGACAGTAACAGAATGAATGGGGAAAGAGACACAAGGCCTCTTTTACCAATGTGACCCATGGTTTCACTTCTGTTTGAGGGTGTTCTGTCAGTCCGAGTGGAGAAATCAATATACCTTGTTATTCATTCACTTGCTGGCTTTGTGTAGCTGCCTTCCAAGGCATGAGAAATGAGTAACCAACTTCAGGTCCTTCAAAAATATTAGTAGTCATGGCTGCTTACCTTGGAGAATTTTAAAATTAGTTTACACAACTTAATTAAATCTTCCTAAGTTACAATGTCTATTAATCATGTAAGAGAAAGGAAATATGAAAAATTTATTTTTCTGTTCTAGTCAAACTGAGGAAAACTACTCAAGGCTCTTGCCCATCTGAAACCTTGTTTCTTCCAATGCATAGATACCAAGACATGAAAATGCACATGTGGTTCACAGCGAATGGCAAGATTAACCTCTAACTACCATCACACAGAGCTCTTTCCTGGTGCTTCCCCACCCCGCTGCATTGCTAGCCTGAAAGCGGCTTCTCTTTTCTCCTTTGCCTGTGAGGTAGGCAGAGGTAGGTAGAGAAGAGTCAAGCCTGCAGAAACAAGGCCAGAGCTGGAACCCATGGTGCCTGTTTACTTCTGTGAAAATCCAGTAAGAACACACTAGACCAATTTTAGGATTGGCTGGTTGCTAACTTTTGAGTAATCATAGTGGATGAGTCTCCTTTGCCCATTAGGTTAGCTTGGAGGAGTGTGATGGGAAACATTCTCCTTAACTCAGAGAAAAAAAAAATGTATAGAGTCCCAGTCTACCATGATTTGGAAGAATAATAGACCAGAAATGAGAACACCATGGTGAGGTTTTAATGGCGTTCAGAAATCAATCACTCTTCTGGTTTCCTTCCACAGAATAATGGAACCACAGGGTTCGGAAGCGGACGGGCAGGAAGCACGATGATGATTGGATATTCTTAGCTCCCGAATGCTTGTACTTTTCAAGAAAACCTCAAAATTGGGGCAAGGGGAGACAGGCGAACCTTTCACAAGTTTCTGTGCCTGTCCTATTCAGACCAGTTTTTGAAATTTTTTGGCAGATATGAATCATCACTATTTCCTCCACCGCGATCAACAGAAACTACAAACTTGAAAGTTAAACGGGAAGGCCAGCTCCTGCTCAAATCGGGAGTTGCTTGAACCCAGACTTCTCCTCCAGAAAAGGTCTGTCATTCATTACCCTGCCCCCACCCCTTCATTTGTAGGGAAAAATGTCTAGATAGCGTCATATCCGTAGCCATAGCACGAGACACAGCTCTACCTCCACCTCTGTAGCTGGAGGGAGGGGGGGTGACCCCTCCGGAGGAAAGACTCCAAAGACTTGGTGAACAGGCAGAGGCTGAAGGCAGACAGCTTCAGCTCAGCCTGGCAAGACTGTCTGGAATCAACCACCATGGAAGTGGTAAAGCTAGGTGGACTCACTTTGCATGGTGCCTGAAGTCAGAAGGAGATGCCAGCAAGGAAGCTAAGTGTTTTCTGAGGTTGGAAATGGAAACCCAAGCTACTTCCCAATTCACTGACCCTGGACTGCCTGTCTGTCCCTCACATCCCCAACCTCCACTGCACTCCCTTTGAGTTGCCTGCTATGGGAAGGAGAAGGACTCTTGGGCATTCCCCTAAAGCAGGGGGTTCTCAACCTTCCTAATGCTGCAACCCTTTAATACAGTTCTTCATGTTGTGCTGACCCCCAACCATAAAATTATTCTCGTTGATATGCAGGATAATTAATATGCGACCCCTGTGAAAGGGTCCTGTGAACTCCCCCAAGGAGGGTCGCGACCCACAGGTTGAGAGCTGCTGCTCTCCAACATTCACTACCTGTGGTAACTTGGAACTGACATAGACTGGATCCTGCCTGCTGAGCTAACCTGAGAACGTGCGGAGGAGGGTCTCCGACAGACGGACAGCTTCCTCTTGTTTTATTCCAGCGATTATTTTTTTAAAGCCAGATTAAATTCCTTCCTTTTAGAACTGTTTTATTTTTCCTCTCCAGTATCTGGCCAGGACATATTCAAACATGTTTCTCAAAGTAAAGACACCTAACAAATCTATAGAGAGCCAACCCCTGTGTGTTTGTGGCTGCCTGTTGTCTATTGCCCTTAAATAAAAGTACAGCCTTAAAAATAAAATAAATAAAAAAGGGGAGAGAGAAAGGAAAGGAAGGGTTAGAAAGGGGAAAGATAAAAATAAAGACACCGGCAGACAGACAGACGAACTTTGGATCTAAAAATGTCAACTCTGATTGTGGTCCACGTTTCAGCTTTCCCTTAGAGTCCCTCATTCTGCCCCTCGCCCCGCTTCCCCCAACACGCATCAACCTCAGATAAATCTGACTCCTGGTCAACTTGTAGGCTTTAGTAGCAGCAAGAGGACCAAGGTCCACCTGCCCCCCAAAGACACTGCAAGAGCCCGCGGCGCCGCAGTAGCCGCCACCTCCTGCTGCAGTCCGGACAGAGTTTCAGATGAAACCCTGAGGGCTAGCGCTCCTCTGCCGCTCGCCCCGCTGCCCTGGCTCCGACCTCCTTCTCGGGAGGCCCGGAGGAAGCAGGTCACTTTGCCACCTCTGAGGCTGGGGTGGAGCAGCAGCGACAGAGACTCCCACCGAAGGAGCCCGAAGCCGAGTACCCTTTCCCCAACTCCCCGCCCGCACGTCCGCGGGGCAGGTCCGGTGCTGCTGGCGAGAGAGGTCACTTGCCAAGGTGCTGGGTGCTCACTGGGGTGCGGGGATTCAGGCGGGACGGTGAGGAGGAGAGGCTAGGGGTTGCCTGGGAATAGATGGGGCGGGTGGGGAGAGGAGCGACCAGGTGTTCTTCAACCCCTGGCCACCGCAACTCCGATGCGCGCCGTCTTAAAGGCCTTTCCTTTCCCTGGGCGCTCGCCTCCCGCCCCGCTCCCCGCCTAGACGTCTGCAGGAAAAGAAGGTGTAAGAGTACCTGGAGCGAATACCATGACTACCCTCAGCCGCTTCGCTGGGTTCAGAGAAGTGGGCCAGCCAGAGGGCGGGAGCCGCCCGGGGACGGGGATCCACGCGCGGATCGGAGCAGGCGGGCGCGCGGGCCGGACGGTCAGCACCTCGGACAGCTCCCCGCGCGCGGTCCCGGGCTGTGGCTCAGCGCTGGGCGCGCGCTGCCTCCACAATGCACCGCTGCTCCGCCGGCGGGAGGAGGAGACCCAAGCCGGCTCTGCTCATCCTTGGTCCCCGAGCCAGCTCGGCGTTCTGCCGCTGAGGGAGCAGGGAGCTTCTACCGCTTTCATCCGAGCAGGAAGGACGGAAGTGGAAGCCAGAGAGAAAGGTAATTGCCCGGTTTCCCGACAGGGGCAAGACTAATTGCTTCTAATTACCTGCTGTCACTCACCCCCAGGGATGCCGGGCTGACATTTAAGATGAGTTTGCCCCTTTCTCCACATCGCACTGGAGTTTACTCCAGAGGCTAACTAAATCTGAGTTCTCGGAGTCTGACTGGCTCTGAATAGAAGGAGGGACCGCCAAGTTAACCCATGATTTGGTGCTCACGACTTCTCTGGCTGTCCCAGGCCTCTCCAAAGGTCAGCAAAAGGGCCAAAGAAGAAAACCAGGATGACTGCAGAGTGCGTGAGGAGGATGCCACTAATGAGCCCTGCTCCCGGGTGACAGCTCGGTCAACTCCCGGAATTGCAGGCTCTCAAGGTCACAGCCTCGGGAGGAAACGGCGATAGTCAGGGCAAAGGAAAAGTCCAGATTAGACAGGTCTCATACAAACTCAAACTTCTGCAGAATCAACATATCCCTGAGATCGATTACAAACCCAAAAGCTTGCCCAGAACTAGCTCAGTTGGTATCTTCTCCCTTTCTTCACACCTGGCTCCACCCTAACGATACCCGGACGTACCGGCTGATCAGTGCAGGTTCCTAATCCATTACTCACAAGAAAATATCTGTTCTCCAGTTAATATCTGTGCGATGTGGGCAACCCACATTAGACGGCACCAGCTTGCAGCAGGTACGTGTGGAATCTGACGCCAAAGTCGAACCACGTAAGGATCCACTTGCCTTGGCTTTTAGCCTCCATGTCTGCCGTTGAGTGAGGCTGGCCAAGCACAAAGGCCGTCAGAGCCGTCTCTGGAGTTCTTTGGGCATTCTTTACCTTTCTCTGGAAACAGTCCAGGTATTCCGAACACACAGTATTAACAATTCGGTGGAGGCCATGAGCTCTACTCTGCTTTGGCAAAGGTAAGTGTTTGAACAGTCAGGCTTGCGCTGGGTTTGCTCAAAGCCATAGCAGGTGGAAAATACAAACGGTTTCACAGCTTTTGAACTACAGCGTTTGTAAAGGCAGATGGGCAGCTTCAACACCCTACAACCAGAACTGCTCTTAGCGCCTGGTGCCAGTACAGGCTGAAACAGATGGGGACTGCCTCAAGACAGCTGGTGGGCAGGATAAATAATAGGCACGAAGGGATGGAGTCCTCTCATACCCCAAAGTTACACTCGCACCCCGGGGCCAAAGATCCTTGGCCTCTCTTGCTTCAGCACCCTGGTGCCACCTCGACAACTTCACCATTACTCTCTGTGTGACCTTGGATACATCACCCAATTTCTCATCTTATCTGTCTATAAGGACAAAGGCAGCTGGAAGGTTTGCTGTGCAGACTCTCTGAAATATGAATTGTGAGTTGAGTTTAAGAAAAAGTAAGGGGGCCAGGTGTGGTGGTGCGTGTTTTTAATCCCAGCACTTGGGAGGCAGGGTCAAGCAAATCTCGCGATTCCAGGACTGCCAGAGCTACATAGTTGAGACCCCGTCTAATAAAGAGAGAGGAGGGGGGAGAGAGAGAGAGAGAGAGAGAGAGAGAGAGAGAGAGAGAGAGAGAGAGAGA